ACTTGTTTAGTTCTTGATGTCTGCCTGTGTCAGAACTGTCAGAAGTCATGACCTTTGAAGCAATCAGCAGACACCTGAAGATGAAAAGAAGAATGGCGTTTAAAACGATCATTAAAGGGGAAAATACTTAGGAGGCAGGGATCAGGGCAAACGAAGTCATCTCTTCACATCTTGCTGAACACTCAGTTATCCACTTGCCATTGGCTTTGAGTCTTCATAGGCTGCTGAAGAACTGGCGCTTGGCTGCCTGATAAATTATCCAGTTCATCCCCGAATACAGTCCGCAGCAAGGCATTGCATTCATCTGCTGGGCATCAGAATATAAGCTGCTTATGTGAGAACAAACCTCTCTCCCGAATTTCTTGTTTGTTTTCCCTCCCTGGTAAGTACCACCTGTTTCTCACCTGTCTGAATGAGAACTTCCTCAGTAGAATGATCATTTTCCCTCTGTGCTCATATGTGTTCTATATTGCTGCCCAAAACTGGTTTGCCACCAGTTTTATACTCAATTTCACGTCTTTGTCTAAGAATCCACATCCAGAGTCCAGCAAAGGAGTTGACATAAGTAATTTTCTCCTGCATGTAAAAGGATGTAAATTCCTCTGGCCCCTCTCTGGGTAGATTTGCATTTTGTCTTTAATTGTGGCAGGAGGGAGACCAACATTTATTGAGCACTATGCAAACAAAGGTACTAGGACTTTCAAATATGTCATCTCGTTTTATCTTACACATACCTTATGGGGTATAACAGATGCTGTTTAAAGATCTTCATCGCTCTGAGATTTGCAAGAGTTAAGAAACCTGCTATGGACAGAAATGCCACAATTAAAGTTTTATGATGAACAACCCTAAGATAGTTATTCTGAAATCTGTGACTTTTTCTCCAGCCTCACATTGCCTCCAAAGTGGGGGTAGAGGATGGGGGGGTGAGAGAGAGGGGGGGGGAGAGAGAGAGAGAGAGAAAGAAGAAAAGAAGAGGAAGAAGAAGAAGAAGGAGGAGGAGGAGGAGGAGGAGGAGGAAGGAGGAGGAGGAGGAGGAGGAGGAGGAGGAAGGAGGAGGAAGGAGGAGGAAGGAGGAGGAGGAGGAGGAAGGAGGAAGGAGGAGGAAGGAGGAGGAGGAGGTGGAGGAGGAGGAGGAAAAGGAGGAGGAAAAGGAGGAGGTGGAGGAGGAGGAGGAAAAGGAGGAGGAGGAGGAAAAGAGGGGGAGGAGGGGGAGGAGGAGAAGGAGAAGAAAAAGAAGAAGAAAGGAGGAGGAGGAGAATAAGAAGATGAAGAAGAAGAGGGAGGAGGAGGAGGAGAAAGAATGACTCATTTCCTCTGGTAGCACTAGAAAAAGGAGGATGTTTGAGGCTAACACATTTTGAACACTGTTTACGGACCTCAATATGTATTCTTAGGGTGGGAATGTCTTTCAGGAGTTGGCATGAGGTCTGTATAGCTAGATTAAAAATTGGAAGATTTGAAACCTGCCACTGACTTGTCATATGCTGAATTTTTTCTCTAGGCCAGAAGCCCAATGGATGGGTAAGAGCCCTTTCTAACTCTGTCTTTTCTTATTAAAGGAAAGGATGACAATGAAATTTTGCAGGAGAGGTATGGCATAGAGTCTCCTTTACCATTATTGACAAATGCTTCCAAATGAGCTAGCAGCCTCATTTCCCTACTGGTTAGGTAAGGATTAGCTCTGCTGAGTGATTGCTTTGTTTTGTTGAATGCAAGATAGAAGTTAGGGAAAGACTCACAGATTTTGTTGCATTCTGGTCCCTAGATAACCAGAATATTTTTGGATAGACCTGAAGTGTTTCCAGTGCTGATGTATCAGTTTTCTATTAGTGCTCTAACAAGTTACCACAAGCTTAGTAGTGAAGAAAAACATCACAAATGTTATTCTATCAGAGTTCTGGAGGCAAGATGTGTAAAATGGATCTAACTGAGTTAAAACTGAAGAGGTCAGCATTTCTTTGAGATGTTCTAGAGCCTAATCTTGTTTTCTTGCTTTTTCTGGCTTGTAGAGGCCACTTGCATTCCTTAGCTCACGGCCCCTTCCTTCATCCTCTAAGTCAACAGCATAACATCTTCAAATACCTCTCTGATTCTGACTCTTCTATGTCTTCTTCCACATTTAAGAACTCGTTATTACATTAGGCCAACCCAGATAATCCAGGATTAGCTCCCCAGTTTAAAATCAGCTGATTAGCAACCTTAATTCCATCTACAACCTTAATACCTCCTTGGCATGCACCATAACAGATTTATGGGTTCTGGAGATTAGGATGTGGACACCTTTGGGGGTTCTTATTCTGCTTAGCACAGCTGACTAGCAGGTGTTATGTTTTAAGACGATAGGGGTACTGAAGAGGGAGCTAAAAAGTTGGAGTACACCTAAAATCTCACTTCTTTTGCCATCTTTTGATAATAACCTTCACAGTTTGTCATGGGATGAGTGTTATTGCCTGGGGTGGAAAGGGAGATGGCATTGGGAAAGAACTAGAAAAAGTATACTTTGAATATAATTTAAGATAATGTCACTTAAACAGCTTTGTGTTGGCAGAAGACAATAGAGTATAAATAAATTTGCCTAAAGTACTTTCCTACATCTAGTCTTGTCTTTACTTTCTCAACATGACACGGCATCACAAGAAATCTACAACCACCAAGGGGAAGACATCTAAATGACATTCAGTGGAAATGTGCCTTCCAGCAAGGTTGGAACAGAGAAGTTGACAAGAGTGAGGGGGAAAGGGAGGACAAGACAGAAATTGGAGTTGTAGGAGAGATGCAGGTTCTGCAGGGTCTTGAAACCATATTGAGGTTGTTACACACTACATGGCGTACATGAGCAGATCGTGCAGGTTTGTTACATAGGTATATACATGCTGTGGTGGTTTGCTGCATTCATCCCCCAGTCATCTACATTTTGTACTTTTCCTAATGTTATCTCTCCCCAATCCCTCAACCCCCTGCTATCCCTCCCCTAGCTCCACCCACCCCCCAAAAGGCTCTGGTGTGTGATGTTCCATTCCCTGTGTCCATGTGTTCTCATTGTTCAACACCCATTTATGAGTGAGAACATGCAGTGTTTGGTTTCCTGTTCTTATGTCAGTTTACTGAGAATGATGGTTTCCATCTTCATCCATGTCCCTGCAAAGGACATGAATGCATTCTTTTTTATAGCTGCATAGTATTCCATGGTGTATATGTACCACATTTTCTTTATCCAATCTATCATTGATGGACATTTGGGTTGGCTCCAGGTCTTTGCTATTGTAGTGTCATGATGAACATGTGTGTACATGTGTCTTTATAATAGAATGATTTATAGTCCTTTGGGTATATACCCAGTAATGGGATTGCTGGGTCAAATGGTATTTCTATTTCTAGATCCTTGAGGAATCTCCATACTGTCTTCCACACTTGTTGAACTAATTTACACTCCCACCAACAGTGTAAAAGCATTCCTATTTCTCCACATCCTCTCCAGCATCTGTCGTTTCCTGATTTTTTTAATGATTACCATTCTAACCAGCATGAAATATTATCTCAATGTGGTTTTGATTTGCATTTCCCTAATGACCAGTGATGATGAGCATTTTTCATATGTTTGTTAGCTGCACAAATAACTTCTTTTGAAAAGTATCTGTTCATATCCTTGACCCACTTTTTGATGGGGTTGTTTTTTTCTTGTAAATTTGTTTACATTCTTTGTAGATTCTGGATATTAGCCCTTTGTCAGATGAGTAGATAGCAAAATGTTTTCCCATTCTATTGGTTGCCAGTCACTCTGTCAGTTTCTTTTGCTGTGCAGAAGCTCTGAAGTTTAATTAGATCTCATTTGTCTATTTTGGCTTTTGTTGCCATTGTTTTTGGTGTTTCAGTCATGAAGTCCTTGCCTGTGCCTATGTCCTGAATTGTATTGTCTAGGTTTTCAATGATACACTCTAATCTTAAAGGCCAATGAGAATCCTTTGAGAATTTTTAGACAGGGGAAGTCATGTTGAAGGTAGTTTTAGAAAAGGTCTCCAAGACTGCAGTACAGAAAATGAATTGATACAATCCAGAATTTCTTAGGAACCCTCTATGTAATTGAAACAAATAAAAATGTATGCATAGTAATAACTGTTCTAATGAGAACTCATGAACACAGGGATGGGAACAACACACACTGGGGCCTGTTGGGGGTATGGGAGGGGAAGCATCAGGATAAATAGCTAATGCATATAGGGATTAATACCTAGGCGATGGATTGGCAGATGCATCAAACCACCATGGCATACATTTATCTATGTATCAAATCTGCATGTTCTGCACATGTATTCCGGAACTTAAAATTAAATGAAATTAAATTTTAAAAAATAATGACTGTTATTTGAAGAACAGTCATTTGAGGAATGCTATTCTTTAAATCTTTTTATTTGAAAAGGCGACCTCTCATCTGAAATTTAACAACGGCTGGTGAAGTCAGGTCTTCTAGTGGTTGCTGTGCCATGACTGATGCCTTGGAATACTCTCTACATTAACTTTTTGGGGCAGTAACTTGACTGAAACACCTTTTTCCACAGCCTAGTCCTCAGGGCCACAGGTGCAAGGTTTCCGTTTTGTTCTTGAACCAAGAAATGCTGACTCTCAGTAACATGTGCCTCAATAATTTTTCTAGTTTTCTTAAATACCAAAATATAAGGAAAAATAGGAGATGCAGGTTAAAAATTGCACTTTCTGAAATAAAACATATATATATATATTTTAAGTTCGGTACACAGGTAAATGTGTGCCATGGTGGTTTGCTGCACCTATCATCCCATTGTCTAGGTAATTAAGCCCAGAATGCATTAGCTAAATTTTCTGATGCTCTTCCTCTCCCCACACACCCGATGGGCGCTAGTTGCTCCTCTCCCTGTGTCTATGTTAAAACATACATCTTTTAATATGACTGCTAAAAATGATCATTTCAGGGTCTCTAATATTGTCAAGCATTCTTCATCTCCATCAGAGAGCAAGGAAATATGAGCCCTGAGAACCTGAGCTGCGTGTCTGAGTTCCTCCTCCTGGGTCTCCCCATCCGGCCAGAGCAGCAGGCCGTGTTCTTTGACCTGTTCCTGGGCATGTACCTGACCATGGTGCTGGGGAACCTGCTCATCATCCTGCTCATCCGGCTGGACTCTCACCTCCACACCCGCATGTACTTCTTCCTCAGCCACTTGGCTCTCACTGACATCTTCTTTTCATCTGTCACTGTCCCTAAGATGCTGACGGACATGCAAAGTACAAATCTATCCCCTATGAGGAGTGCATTTCTCAGATGTATTTTTTTGTATTTTTTACTGACCTGGACAGCTTCCTTATTACATCAATGGCGTATGACCTATATGTTGCCATATGTTACCCTCTCCACTACACTGCCATCATGAGGGAAGGGCTCTGTGCCTTCTTAGTGGCTGTATCTTGGATTCCATCTTGTGCTAGCTCCCTCTCTCATACCCTTCTGCTGACCTGGCTGTCTTTCTGTGATGCAAACACCGTCCGTCCACCACTTCTTCTGTGACCTTGCTGCCCTGCTCAAGCTGTCCTGCTCAGATATCTTCCTCAATGAGCTGGTCATGTTCACAGTAGGGGTGGTGGTCATTACCCTGCCATTCATGTGTATCCTGGTATCATATGGCTACATTGGGGCCACTATCCTGAGGGTCCCTTCAACCAAAGGGATCCGCAAAGCGTTGTCCATGTGTGGCTCCCATCTCTCTGTGGTGTCTCTGTATTATGGCTCAATATTTGGCCAGTACCTTTTCCCAACTGTAAGCAGTTCCATTGACAAGGATGTCATTGTGGCTCTAATGTACACAGTGGTCACACCCATGTTGAACCCCTTTATCTACAGCCTTAGGAACAGGGACATGAAAGAGGCCCTTGGGAAACTCTTCAGTAGAGCAAAGTTTTTCTCTTCGTGACATCTGACTTTTTAAGCAATTCGAATCTCGTTTTGGTTTATCTCATGTATTTGATTTTCCATTTGAATATGTCTCAAAACCTTGTATATCCTGAAGCCCTAAGACAAATGTTAACATGTTGAATGTAACTGGTAAATATTTGTTGACCGGAATTCTATTCTCTTATTAACAATGTTATTCTTTATAAATAGTTTTTGATCAGTGAATGCTAAATTAATTTTATTTTTCTTTCTGCAACTTGGAGAAAAGACATAACAATACAGTAATATACAGTTTTGATATCCCTTATTCGAGGAGATTTTTGGAAACATATATGTTTTTGGCCCATAATCCTAGACTTTAACACAACATAGAATTGAAAGAATTAGTGGTATTATTTTACTATCCTCTATAAGGTAGACTGAATGTGATCATTAGTGAAGTGATCAGACAACTCACAAAAGAGACAGTTTCAAGGCATTTCATAGTCTTTAATAAAATTTCACAGTGAATCGTTGTGTTAATTCAGTAGAAGATGGGCTAAAAATAAAAAATCTTAAGTAGATATGTATGTATTGATATGCATAAGAAATAGAAATGCAAACATAGTCACAACACATTATTACAGAAAAAGAAAGTGACGAAGTACTATAAAATACATTCCATTATGTAAACAGATATGTTTATGAATAAAAGTCATTTATTTCATTAATTATTTGTTTACTTTTTCGTTGGAACATTGATCTTTTGTGCAGGCTGGAATGCAGTGGCGTGGTCTTGGCTCACTGCAACCTCTGCCTCGCGGGTTCAAGTGATTCTCCTACCTCAGCCTCCCGAGTAGATGGGATTACAGGCATGCACCACCACACTCATCTAATTTTGTATTTTTAGTAGAGAGAGCATTGGTCAGGCTGTTCTTGAACTCCTGACCTCAGGTGATCCACCTGCCTCGGCCTCCCAAAGTGCTGGGATTACAGGTGTGAGCCACTGTATCCAGCCATTTTATTTTATTTTTTAAAATTTCAACTATTGTTTTACATTCATGGGGTGTATACCCAGGTTTGTAACATGGATATATTACGTGATGCTGAGGTTTGAGTTACAAATGATTTCATCACCCAGAGAGTGAGCAGAATACCCAGTAGTTAGTTTTTCAACCTTTCTCTAGCAGTCTCCAGTGTCTATTACTCTCATCTTTATGTTTAGCTCCCATGTAGAAGTGAGAACATGCAGTATTTGTTTTTCTGTTTCTGTGTTAGTTTGCTTAGGATCATGGCCTCCAGTTACATCCATGTTGCTGCAAAAAAACGTGATTTCATTCTTTTTGACGGCTTCATAGTATTCCATGGTGTACTACATGTTTTTAATCCAGTCCACTGTTGATAAATACCTAAGTTGATTCCATGTGTTTACTATTGTGAATACTGAAAAAACCCTCTTAGAAGGATAAAAAATGAATCATGAAAGGGTTTGAGATACTTTGACTTTCTCCTTCATTTCCATGTTTATATTATTTGCATTTCCATCATGAAGAGGAATTAATTTTATAAGCAGCAAACAAAAAAAGAATTTTCATTTCAGAGAAAAATTTCTATAGACATCTCAACCTAACACCTAACTAGGGGAAACCTGAATCCAGCATGGGAGGTCTTTCCCCATCCCCTTTTGGACTTAAATTCACAGGGCCCGACAATCTTCCTAAGAACAGAGATTCCTTAAAGTCTGCCCTTAGAGCCACTTGCTTCGGAATTATCTGGCTCTAGATCTTATGAATAAATATCTCTGCAGATGGAGCTGGGACCTGAATCTTTAACAAGTTCCCCCGTTGATTTTGATAAACATCAAGGTTTAGAGACCACTGCCCTAGGGCATCTGTCCTGGGGGGGAGTAGGAGGAAAACCGAGGAATTAATGCATGTTTAATGCAAGTCTCTAACCACATGGTTGGTGCCCTGTCCCCTCGAGTCCTCTCCCTGGTGGATAGAATAGAGTTGTTACCTCTCCATTTCTGAATCATGCAAATTGAGAAGAGTAAGCTCCAGGTTCATTTTTTTCTCCGATGTCAGTGAGGTTTAGGACCACATATGTCAGAGGCTAACTCTGATCTTTTGGTCTCCTAGAAAGAAGCTGAGAAACCAGTCCATACTCCCAGGAATGACTTGAGCATAAAGTTCAGAGCAGGACTGGATATCCTTCATCAGTATCGGTGTGTGTGTATGTGTGTAAGTGTGTGCACACGGACGTGTATACAGGTGCTTAGCATTTCTCTATGCCCTTGCTGAAGTCATTTTTGATTTCGGGTTCCTAAAGACAGGGATGCAACAATCACCACTGGCCAGTGACTTTTATGTCTTTAACCCCGTTTGTGGGGAGCTGAGGGACAGTGCCAGCTGGCTACATAAATTGGTGGGCATATCCTCAAAATCCAGGGTAGGAGGTCTCATCTCAGCATTTGTGTTCTAGATATTAGAATGTGTGCTTATCTATTTAGTGCATGCAGTGTTAGAGAGCCCTCTCTAATATTTCTTTCTAAAGTCCCTGATCATTCCCTTTCCTTTAGGCAGCACAGCTACTTTCACCTGGAAGTATCTTTGAAGGACACATTTAGCTAGAGAGCCTTGGGTCCTTTCTTCCTTTATGTAGCATCCATATTGCAGATCCTTATTAGAATCTGCTTGATAACTTCCTTCCTGTAATCCCTAGTGTATTCTTAAACCTTCGTCAAAGGCAGCAAACTTTGAGCCCAGGAAATATCTACTATCCCAATTACTTTTGCCTGGTTTGCACTGAAGATAAGACACTTATGCTTTTTATTAATTTTCTTGTACAATTTACTAACTACAATTGAGTATACAATGTTGAATAGAAAATAGCTGGCATAGTTTTCTCATTCCTGATTTTAATGGCAATGCTTTAAAATACCACCACTAAGTATGGTGTTTGCTGCCTCATTTAGTTTAGTGAGTGTCTTAGTTGGCTGGGCTGCTATAGCTGGTTGACTTTAAACAGCAGACATTTATTTGTCACAGTTCTGGAGCCTGGGAAGTCCATGATCAAGGTACCAGCAGATTCGGTTACTGGTGTGGGTCCACTTTCTGGTTAGCAGATGGCTACCTTCCTGCTGTGTCCTCACATGGCAATGCCTGAGACAGGTTTCTTCCTATGAGGGAAATAATCCCATTGATGAGGCTCTAACCTCATGACCTAATTAGGTTTCACTTTTAAATATTTTTTGTAGCATTTACTTTTTTATGGCAGTGACATTGTAATCAATGGATATGTTTTTTTCTCATCAACTTCATACATAATGAAAACTTTTGCTGTTTATCTTTGACAGAGTTTCCTTTGGATATATGTTATTGAAATTTCATCCTTGTATGTTGCTTACTAATAAATTTTGAAGTCAAATTTTAAAAGTTCATCATGTTACAACTTGAAGGCTCAAGACTTGCCTGATGATTGTTTTTAAAAGTACAGACACAGAATAGAAATTGGAAAGATGCTATCTTACTATCCATCTGCTAATAGAGTGTGAGGCTTCCTCTTTACTGACTAGACATAGCTGGTCTCCTTTTCTATATCAGACTCTTTACTCTGTTGGCAAATTCTCTCATTTTGCATGATAAAACCATCTACTCTAAATCATTTTTTTTGTAGGGACATAGCAATGTAAACTGACATTAGCATATTCATTAGTAGAAAGGATCTTATCCTTACCTGCCTGCTGTAAACCAATGTTTGTTCCTGCTTTCCTAGCTCCCTCTATTTGCAGCAGAGAAGACTAGCATCATGGAGTGGGAACCAGAGCAGCATATCCGAGTTCCTCCTCCTGGGTCTCCACATCTGGCCAGAGCAGCAGGCCATGTTCTTTGCCCTGTTCCTGGGCATGTACCTGATCACGGTGCTGGGGAACCTGCTCATCATCCTGCTCATCTGGCTGGACTCTCACCTCCACACCCCCATGTACTTCTTCCTCAGCCACTTGGCTCTCACTGACATCTCCCTTTCATCTGTCACTGTCCCTAAGATGTTAATGAGCATGCACACTCAGGAGCAATCTATTCCCTTTGCAGGGTGTGTAACCCAGATGTATTTTTTCATATTTTTCACGGTTCTGGACAATTTCCTTCTCACCTCAATGGCATACGATCGATACGTGGCCATCTGTCACCCACTCCGCTATACTACTATCATGAAAGATGGACTGTGTACCTTACTAGTAGCTGTGTGCTGGATCCTCTCCTGTACCAATGCCCTGACTCACACTCTCCTCCTGGCCCAGCTGTCCTTTTGTGCTGACAACACCATCCCCCATTTCTTCTGTGACCTTGCTGCCCTACTCAAGCTGTCATGCTCAGACATCTCCCTCAATGAGCTGCTCATTTTCACAGTGGGACTGGCAGTCATTACTCTACCACTAATATGCATTTTGATCTCTTACGGCCACATTGGGGTCACCATCCTAAAGGCTCCATCTACCAAGGGGATCTTCAAAGCCTTGTCCACCTGCGGCTCCCACCTCTCTGTGGTGTCTCTGTATTATGGCACAATTATTGGACTGTATTTTGTCCCCTCATCCAGTGTCTCCAGCGATAAGAACATAATTGCCTCTGTGATGTACACGGTGGTCACCCCATTGCTGAATCTCTTCATTTACAGCCTAAGGAACAGGGACATAAAGGGAGCCCTGGAGAGACTCTTCAACAGGGCAATAGTCTTATCTCAGTGACATTTGTTCTTCTTTATAGCAGACACATGCATCGACCTATCTCCAGATGATAGATCCTTAATCCTGATCCCAGCAAGGGATAAGTGCTCAGTAACTCTTTGATGACTTGAATTGCATTCTGATACAGTTATTCTCTTTTTTCCTCTTTAGTATAAATGGTAAATTCTGAGTTTATATAATTGATTGTTTATCTTGCCTATTAGATTCAGAAATTACATAGCTAACAGAACTTAAATCTTTCCTTTTATTTCCTGACAATTCATTTTTTTCTTAAGAATTGTCTAAATATATTGACTAACAGGCTTCCCTTGGCAGAGAAAGGTTGAAGGATTGGGTATTTGTAAAGCTGTTTTCCTTTCTTTCTTCCCATTCGGTTCTCTTCTCACATGTTTTATTGTTGGTGGTATTGGTGGTGGCTCAGGAGAAGAAACTGTATGGTACCCTCTACAGATCCAAAAAGCTATTCACTGTCATAAGTTCAGCTCCTCCACTTCAGGGCTTGAGGTTCCTCCTTGATTTCGGGAACACTAACCACTCATCTAGACTACAACAACTTTCATTCAACAGTTCACTTTTAGACCAGTTGTCTATGAAGCTTTCTGACTACACATGTGAGTTTCAATCACAACACAGGTAAGGGATGAAAAGAAGGGACTCACTCCAGGTAAGGGATGAAAAGAACAAAAAAGTGTTCACAGTCAGGAGCCTTCCGTTACCCTCACTGAGTTTGTCCCTTTCCCATTCAGTCCCTTCATTGTCTTTCTCAATGGGAAGCATTTCTGCTTGGCTTAGTGACCCCTGGTTTGTATTATTTGCCCAATTAATCTTCCATCATTTTATTCTATCTTCTATGTTCTTCACCATCCTGTGAAGGGGCACACAGGTCTCTTTTTTCATTCCCATACTTAGTTAAAGATAAACTGAATTGCAAATGCTTCTGAGAATCAGTATCATGTAGCTGCAAGAGAATATTTGGAAAGATAGATGTCATTTGTAATCTGTATATACCAGGGTGGTGGCTGTGTGGCCTCTGACAATTCACCTAACTCCTCTGAACCTGAATTTATTCTTCTGTATAGGTGAAAAAGTTTCTAAAACACCTAACGTATTTTTTATTTGAAGGAAATGTAATAATAAATTGGGCTTAACACTACAGCAGACCAAGAATAATGAATGTTAGTTTCCTCTTCCTTCTCTGTCAGAGCTGAGTTTTGAAGCAGAACTTGTGCAGACACTCCTGAATTATGGTGACTATGGGCAGCTGGCATGTTGGTCATATTTCTGATTCAAAAGCAATAAACTGCCCTAGGACACAGCAACACATCTGTTCTGGCTTGAGCTAGAACCAAATAACTAAAGGGCAATGAATGAGTGAGCTGATGTGTGGGTAGGTTAGGAAAGACAGTTCAGAAGAATACTTTACTCTTCACTTGTTTTGATATTGACTCACAGAGTGACCCTTCATCAGGGGCTTATGTAGCTGCCTTTGGCATCCCAGATTCCTTTGTAGAACAACAGAGAGTGCCCCCCTCCACCCCTTGCTGAAAGCACAGAGTCACTGCATTTACAAGCTTAGCCCTGACCTTTTCCAGAGCCAAAACCTGAACAGGGATAGTATCTTTATTGTTGGTCTGGATAAAGCATGTCTTGGTAGCCTCAGCACACTTGTGAACCGCTGTACACTCTCATCCCTGCAAGGATTATGTGATCTGTGGAACTGAGTGCCTGCCTCAGTTTCCTTGCCGGCACCCCGGTTCTGTTGTTCAGATCTCTGAAGATCTGCCCAGTTTTGTCAGGCCCATCCTCCAGAGAGGCCAACATTGTCATTTATGTTCTTAGCCACAGGCTGGTAACATTCCTCTGAATGGCTTTTCCTCAAGAAATGGCAAGCTCACTTGTCTGTTGGGAAGTGTTTCATCTCTGTCTGTCCTTCTAGTCTACACCATCTCCCAGATCAGTTTGCTTTGGTTTTGGACAGCCCAAAGCACACTGCTGTGCACCATGTTGATTTGAATATGCAAATAGAACTGGAACTTAAAGTACAATAAATAAAACCCTAAGTTAAAAAAAAGAAATCCTTGTGCATTTTGAAGTAGTTTGATATTTGATTTATGTGTAGAATATTGCAACAGCAGCTTTCCTGTTATTCAGCTAATTTCATTCCATAACCTCTTATCTAGGCTTTGGGTGGGTGAAAACAATCTGGCATCATTGCTGTCTTACCACACAGTTCAACCTGAACTTCCATTGTTTATGTATTTTCAGAAGCATTTATTTTAAAATTTACTCTAAGTTCTGGATACATGTGCAGAACATGCAGGTTTGTTACATGGGCAGACATGTATCATGGTGGTTTGATGCACATATCAACCCATTATTTGGTTTGAAGCCCCTCATGTATTAGATATTTGTCCTAATGCTCTCCCTCCCTTTCCCTCCACACACCCCCCACAGGCCCCAGTGTGTGACGTTTCCCTCCCTGTGTCCATGTGTTCTCATCTTTCAACTGCCACTTATGATTCACAAGCATTTTCACAGTCGTTTCTCCTCTCTTCAAAAAAGCAAGCTGTAGACACTGAAGAATTAAGAGAGTGGAGCACAATAAAACTAATGCTTTTGAAGATATTAAAAGCATTGTTCAGACAACTCACAAAAGAGAGAGTTTCAAGGCATTTCAAAGTCTTTAATAAAATTTCACAGTGAATATTTATGTTAATTCAGCAGGAGATGAACTAAAAATAACAAATCTCAAGTAGATATGTATGTATTGATATGCATAGAAGTAGAAATGCAAACACGATCACAATAAATTATTACAGAAAAAGAAAGTAATAAAGTACTATGAAATAAAGCCCATTATGTAAACAGATATACCAAGACCAGCTAGGCCATAGAGACCCCCACCCAGGTGGTACTGAAGGAATTGAGAAGGAGACACCCAGATAGAATAGCAAAGTGGGACTATCTGGGGGGCCAATAGCCTTCCAGCAGAGAGCCTTAGGGGCTAACAGCATTCTGGGCTGACGGCCTTGAGAAGACTCTGATCCATATAGTGCTTCCCTCTGAACAGGTGATGATTATTAACAAACAGGTGTTCAGTATTTTCTCATAACACAAAAATAAACCAGGTAGGCAGCTGTTGCCTGCATACCACTGATCACAGACAAACTAAAAAGTATTCTCCATGAGGGAGCCATAAGGGCAGGCTCACATATCCCATGCTTAAAGGATTGTTTTAATTGTTTTAAAGAATGGTATAATATTTATATACTGTCTTGTCACTTTAGAATGCCCCAAGTAGTTTTCCACAGGGTGGGGGGTGGCTGGGTTTTCCTTGCCATAGTTCTTCCTAGCAAACGATATATTCTATCATACACTCAGCATTTCTCAACACAGATATGTTTATGAATAAAAGTCATTTTATTTTATTTCATTTTAATTTTTATTTACTTTTTTTTTTTTTTTGAGACAAAGTTTCACTCTTGTTACTCAGGCTGGAGTGTAATGCAGCAATAAATCACTGCAATCTCTGCCTCCTAGTTCAAGCAATTCTCCTGCCTCAGCCTCCTGAGTAGCTGGGGTTACAGGCATGCGCCACTATGCCTGGCTAATTTTGTACTTTTAGTAGAGTCGGGGTTTCTCCATGTTGGTCAGGCTGGTCCTGAACTCCTGACCTCAGGAGGTCAGCCCGCCTCAGTCTCCAAAAGTTCTAGGATTACAGGTATGAGCCACTGTGTCTGGTCATTTTATTTTAATTTTTTAAAATTTCAACTTTTGTTTGATATCGTAGGGTGCATGCCCAGATTTGTTACATGGGTATATTGTGTGCTAAGGTTTGGGGTACAAATGATCTCATGACCCAGATAGTGAGCAGAATACCCAATAGTTAGTTTTTCAACCTTTCTCTAGTAGTCTCCAGTGCCTATTTCGCCCATCTTTACATCCAGGTGTACCTAATATTTAGCTCCCGATTAGAAATGAGAACATGAGTATTTGATTTTTTGTTTCTGTGTTAATTTGCTTAGGATAATGGTCTCCAGTTACTTCCATGTTGCTGCAAAGGACATGATTTCATTCTTTTTGATGGCTTCATAGTATTCCATGGTGTACTACATTTTCTTTATCCAGTCCACCATTGACAAACACCTAAGTTGATTCCTTATGTTTGCTTTTATGAATAGTGGGAAAGTCCTCTTAGAAGGATTAAAAAAACGAATAATGAAAGCGTTTGATACTTTGACTTTCTCCTTCCTTTTCATGTCTATATTATTTGTATTTCCATCATGAAGAGGAATTAATTTTATAAGGAGCAAGCAAAAAAAATTTTCATTTGAGAGAAAACTCTCTATAGACTTCTCAACCTAACTAGGGGAAACCTGAATCCAGCATGGGAGGTCTTTCCCCATCTCCTTTTGGACTTAAATTCACAGGGCCTGACACTCTTCCTAAGAACAGAGATTCCTTAAAGTTGACCCTTAAAGCTGCTTGCCTCAGAATGATCTGGCCCCAGATCTCATGAATGACTATCTCTGCAGGTGGAGCTGGGAACTACATCTTTAACAAGCTCCCCAGGTGATTTTGATGAACATCCAAGTTTAGAGACCACTGCCCTAGGGCATCTGTCCTTGGAATAGGAGGAAAACTGAGCAATTAATGCATGTTTAATGCAAGTCTCTAACCACAAGCTTGGTGCCCTGTCCCCTCGAGTCCTCTCCCTGGTGGGTAAAATAGAGTTGTTACCTTTCCATTTCTGAATGCTGTAAATTGAGAAAAGTAAGCTCCAGGTTCATGACTTTTTTTCTCTGATGTCAGTGACATTTATGACCACAGAATTCAGAGGCTAACTCTGAACTCTTGGTCTCCTAGAAAGAAGCTGAGAAACCGGTCCATACTCCCAGGAATGACTTGAACATAAAGTTCAGAGCAGGAGTGGGTATCCTTCATCAGTAGCATGGTGTGTGTGTGTGTGTGTGTGTGTGTGTGTGTGTGTACAGGTGCTCAGCATTTCTCTATGCTTTTGGTGAAGTCATTTTTTTATTCTCAGTTTCCAAAGACAAGGATGCAACAATCACCATTGGCCAATGACTCTGATGTCTTTAACCACAGTTTGTGGGGAGCTGTGGGATAGGGCCAGCTGGCTATATAAATTGGTGGGCATATCCTAAAAATCCAAGCTAAAGGGTCTCATGTCAGCATTTGTGTTCTAGATATTAGAATGTGTGCTTATTTATTTAGTGCAGTGTTAGAGAGCCCTCTCTAATATTTCTTTCCAAAGTTCCTGATCATTCCCTTCCCTCTAAACAGCACAGCTACTTTCACCTGGAAGTATGTTTGACGGACACGTTTGGCTAGAGAGCTTTGGGTCCTTTCTTCCTTTATGTAGCATCCATATTGCAGATCCTTATTAGAATCTGCTTGATAATTTCCTTACTGTAATCCCTAGTGTGTTCTTAAAACTTTGTCAAAGGCAACAAACTTTGAGCCCAGGAAACATCTACTACCCCAATTACTTTTGCCTGGTTTGCACTGAAGATAAGACACTGAGTTTCTTCCCTAGAGGTCTTTGCACTTTATTTTAATGGAAACAATGTCATCTCATATATGGCACCTTCTATGGATGGGGTGTTTCTATAGAGCTTACCTTATTTAATTTTTACTGTAATTCAGGGATTATGATCCCCATTCTGAGAGGAAAAGCTGAGGCTCCTAAGCTGCGCACTACCTTGCCCAGAGACATACAACTGACAAACGGCAGAGAGGTGATTTGAATCCCTTCTGTCCAGCTTCAGAACCCATGCTTTACCTTCTATAAATACAACCTCACTGTAAAGGAAATATCAGTTATCAGCAAGCAGTAGTTTGAGGCTTTAGTGTTCAGGAGGTTGAATGTGGTGGAGTGAGAGAGTCTGTACATGGTCTTTACACTGAATTTATGCAGATAGAAATAGGCATGGCTGAATTGAATCCAGGGGACTTTATTAAAATCCTAAATACCATGGATTAAATAGAGTTCCAATTTCATGAAGGAGTCATCTAATTGATATATCATGAGAGACACCAGATGTGGAGAGGGAGAGGGAGAAGTCCAGAATAGTGAGATATCTGAGCCATCATTCTCTAGGGTGTTGTTGGACGCTGCCTTTCTGCCCAACTTCATTACTGCTGTTTCTGGCCTTTGCCTGCATCAGGTCATGGTCTCATGATGAAGTGATCTTGTGGCACCTGAACTCTGCCAGTATCAGCCTGTTGAAAGGAGTGGGCAATCAGGAGGGAGAAATAAAGGAGACTCAGGAAATGGCAGGTGAGAAACTAATATGAGTTGGTGCAGGTTATATGCAGTCACTCTTCACAAATGTTATCTTATTAATATTCACAATATTCTCATGACTCAGGCTCATAGTCATATCTCCAGATTAGAGATGAGAAAATGGAGATTCAGGCCAACTGGGTCACTTCCCTAGAACTCACAAATATGAAGTGATGTTGCCAGGACTTGAATCTATGGCTAAGTGCAATGCTTTTATCGGTACCACATACTACACTCAGGCACTAGTTTCTATCCTTAAGGTCACAGCTCCAAAGACCCTCAAAATGCTGGAGTGAGCAGGTACAGACTGGGATCCTGGGCTAGGCATTCTTGCCCATCTTCTTTATGGGTTCATTTAGAACTCTGTTGTGTTGGCTGCTTTTTGGTAAGATTAAAAGGAAGGATGGTATTCCTATATAAAATAGGAGTATGCTCAACTCACCAGCTTAAAGAAGCAAAAAAATTTAAGCCTATCATTAACCTATATAAAGCTCTTCTGAAATTTTCTCTCAATTAAGAACTGGTATAATGAAATCCTAACATTTTCTATTTACTTAGTATATGTAGATGTACATATATTAGGCATTTGGCATTGATTTTTGACTTAAAGGGAAATTTTCATTGAAGACACAGTGGGATTATAAACTCGTCCCTACTTGTCTTGCAGGATTTGGTATATTAAGCCTTAGAATTTTTTTGAGTTTTTTTTTTTAAAGTTCCAGGGTACATGTGCAGGATGTGCAGGTTTGTTACATAGGCAAACGTGTGCCATGGTGGTTTGCCGCACCCATCAACCCCATCTCCTAGGTATTGAGCCCGGCATGCATTAGCTCTTTTTCCTGATGTTCTCACCACCCAAACCTCCCTCAACAGGTCCCAGTGTGTGATGTTCCCCTCCCTGTGTTCCTGTGGTTCTCATTGTTCAGCTCGCATTTATAAGTGAGAACATGTGGTGTTTGGTTTTCTGTTCCTGCGTTAGTTTGCTGAGGATACTGGCTTCCAGCTCCATCCACATCCCTGCAAAGGACATGACCTCGTTCCTTTTTATGTATGTTCATTGCAGCGCTATTTATAACCAAAAAGACATGGAATCAACTCAAATGTCCATCAATGATATACTGGATAAAGAAAATGTGGTACATATACACCATGGCTTTAGAATATTTTAATGGATAGATAGTGTCTGTTGAGAAAGGACACAAATAGATTTTGTAAAACAGTTGATACCGATAACCAGGGGGACGTGGATGTATCTGGAAATTTCATGGGGCTGGATAGCAGATGCTGTAGTTCAAGATGCCAGGATCCCAAAGGAGGAAGCTACAAAAGCAGAAGGGGCATATCATTGGCCCATTTCTTTGGCCTCTGTTGATAAGAACTCTTATGATTATAGGTTGTGGATTTTCATGGTGTCACAAGAGCTTTTGAATCAGGAGGAGATTAGAAAATGATCTCAAAAAGCCCAATAACATGATTATTGATAATAAATATATATTTTCAATTTTTTGAGAATTCTCATTTTCTGATGCTTTTAATTAATTTTCTTGTAAAATTTACTAACTACAATTCAGTATACAATGTTGAATAGAAGATAGCTGGCATAGTTTTCTCATTCCTGATTTTAATGGCAATGCTTTAAAATACCACCACTAAGTATGGTGTTTGCTGCCTCATTTAGTTTAGTGAGTGTCAGTCGGTTGGGCTGCTATAGTTGGGTGACTTTAAACAGCAGACATTTATTTGTCACAGTTCTGGAGCCTGGGAAGTCCAAGATCAAGGTACCAGCAGATTTGGTTTCTGGTGTGGGTCCACTTTCTGGTTAGCAGATGGCTACCTTCCTGCTGTGTCCTCACATGGCAATGCCTGAGACACATAATTATTCTCGTGTTTCTTCTTATAAGGACACTAATCTCATTCCTGAGGCTCTACCCTCATGACCTAATTACCTCCCTAAATCTCACGTTTATATATTTTTTGTAAAATTTACTTTTTTATGACAGTGATATTGTAATCAATGAATTTTTTTTCTCATCAACTTTATACGTAATGAAAACTTTGGCTGTTTATCTTTTAACCCAATTTCCTTTGTCTATATGTTATTTAAACTTTATCCCTATATGTTGCTTATTAACAGATTTTAAAGTCAAATTTAAAAGTTCAGTATGTTACAACTTGAAGGCTCAAGACTAGCCTGATGATTGTTTTTAAAAGTATAGACACGGAATAGAAATTGGGAAGATGTTATCTTACTCTCCATCTGCTAACATAGTGTGAGGCTTTCCCTTTACTGACTAGAGATAGCTCATCTTCTCTTCCATATCAAGCCCTCTACTCTGTTGGCAAATTCTCATTTTGCATGATAAAACCATCTACTTAAATTGATTTTTTGTAGGGACTAGCAATGTAGACAGACATTGGCACGGTCATCAGTAGAAAGAATCTTATTCTTACCTGCCTACTGTAAATCAACGTTTCTTTGTTCCTGCTTTCCTATCTCCCTCTATTCCCAGCAGAAAGAAGACTGGCAGCATGAAGAGGGGGAACCAGAGCAGCTTATCTGAGTTCCTCCTCCTGGGTCTCCCCATCTGGCCAGAGCAGCAGGCCGTATTCTTTGCCCTGTTCCTGGGCATGTACCTGACCACGGTGCTGGGGAACCTGCTCATCATCCTGCTCATCTGGCTGGACTCTCACCTCCACACCCCCATGTACTTCTTCCTCAGCCACTTGGCTCTCACTGACATCTCCCTTTCATCTGTCACTGTCCCTAAGATGTTAATGAGCATGAACACTCAAGATCAATCCATTCCTTATGCAGAATGTATAACTCAGATGTATTTTTTCATATTTTTCACTGATCTGGACAGTTTTCTTCTCACTTCAATGGCATATGATCGGTATGTGGCCATCTGTCACCCCCTCCACTACACCACTATCATGAAAGATGGACTGTGTACCTTACTAGTAGCTGTGTGCTGGATCCTCTCCTGTACCAATGCCCTGACTCACACTCTCCTCCTGGCCCAGCTGTCCTTTTGTGCTGACAACACCATCCCCCATTTCTTCTGTGACCTTGCTGCCCTACTCAAGCTGTCATGCTCAGACATCTCCCTCAATGAGCTGCTCATTTTCACAGTGGGACAGGCAGTCATTACTCTACCACTAATATGCATCTTGATCTCTTACGGCCACATTGGGGTCACCATCCTAAAGGCTCCGTCTACCAAGGGGATCTTCAAAGCCTTGTCTACCTGCAGCTCCCACCTCTCTGTGGTGTCTCTGTATTATGGCACAATTATTGGACTGTATTTTGTCCCCTCGTCCAGCGCCTCCAGCGATAAGGACATAATTGCCTCTGTGATGTACACGGTGGTCACCCCATTGCTGAATCCCTTCATTTATAGCCTAAGGAACAGGGACATAAAGGGAGCCCTGGAGAGGCTCTTCAACAGGGCAATAGTCTTATCTCAGTGACATTTGTTCTTCTTTATAGCAGACACGTGCATCGACCTTTCTCCAGATGATAGATCCTTAATCCTGATCCCAGCAAGGGATAAGTGCCCAGTAACTCTTTGATGACTTGAATTGCATTCTGTTACAGTTATTCTCTCTTTTCCTCTTTAGTATAAATGGTAAATTCTGAGTTTATTTAATTAGTTATTTGTCTTGCTTATTAGATTCAGAAATTACATAGCTAACAGAACTTAAATCTTTCATTTCCTGGAAATTTTTTTTGTTCTTATGAATTGTTTAAATATGTTGACTAACAGGCTTCCCTGGGTAGAGAAAGGTTGAAGGATTGGGTATTTGTAAAGCTGTTTTCCTTTCTTTCTTCCCATTCAGTTCTCTTCTCACGTTTTTTATTGTTGGTGGTGATGGTGGTAGGTCAGGAGAAGAAACTGTATAGTACCCTTTACAGATCCAAAAAGCTATTCACTGTCATCAGTTCAGCATAGAATCTTTATTGTTGGTCTGGATAAAGCATGTCTTGGTAGCCTCAGCACACTTGTGAACCGCTGTACACTCTCATCCCTGCTAGGGTTATGTGATCTGTGGAACTGAGTGCCTGCCTCAGTTTCCTTGCCGGCACCCCGGTTCTGTTGTTCAGATCCCTGAAGATCTGCCCAATCTTGTCAGGCCCATCCTCCAGAGAGGCCAACATTGTCATTTATGTTCTTAGCCACAGGCTGGTGACATTCCTCTGAATGGCTTTTCCTCAAGAAATGGCAAGCTCACTTGTCTGTTGGGAAGTGTTTCATCTCTGTCTGTCCTACTAGTCTGCCCCATCTCCCAGATCGGTTTGCTTTGGTTTTGGACAGCCCAAAGCACACTGCTGTGCACCATGTTGATTTGAATATGCAAATAGAACTGAACATCAATCACATTGGAAACATGTACTTTATTTGAGTGCATTTCCCTCCAGCCATGCCAGTGCTAAGATTCATGACCTTTTCCAGTGAAGCACCTCACTGAGTTTAGAACAAAGCTTGTTGCAGGTTTGAAAACCATGAATATGTGATTTGTTCACAAGCTTACAAATAATTCTGAAAATTGGTAATTATTGACTTGTCAAGTGACCCATGTATGTCCTTCTCAAAAGTTAACATGAATTCTTTCACAGTGTGGCAATAGAACAACCTTTGTCAGAAGGGGGGGAATCAAAATACCCTAGAACCGGGCGCTCCAGCACTTGATTTTAGTGCATATATAACACAGAACTCTGACATAGAAATTTTAAAAGTAAACAAAAATTATTCATTTTCTCACAGATTCAAAGTGGAAAGGGAATTTGTTAAAGAATTAAATTCACTTAGGTTTCGAAGGAAAAAATAAACCCATCAATGTTGTGTTGGTTATTATCTTTGAATCCAAGAAGTAAGAGTGTGTGTGTGTGTGTGTGTGTGTGTGTGTGTGTGATAGATAGAGATAGAGAGAGAGAGAGAGAGAGAGAGAGAGAGAGAGAGAGAAAAGCTACAAATGAAATCAGAAAATAACTCACATACATGTACAATTTAATTTATATGTTATTAAGCATGAAAGGTTGAAATTAATACTGAAAATAGTAAAACATTCTTTATCTTATAGTTGTGCTCCTCAGTAGCCATCTAGTAAGTTACCTCTCTGTGCCAGGCAGTATGCCTATTCTTGGTCACACAGAGCTGGATAAAGACAAAGCCTCCAAGCAAAAGAAACTCATGTTCTCATAGTGTAGTGACAGGTAAACTAAGAAATATGTAAGAGTACAAAAAGTGCCTTAATATAATAAGACCACGAATAGTTGTGCTTATTTTGCATGGCTACTGTGTCAGGCATTGTATCAAAAGCTGTACCTGTATTATCTCATTTAATCCTGATAATTCTATAAACATAGTTATCTATATTTTACAGCTGAGGAAATTGAGGCTTAGAGACAGTGACATAATTACATGGTAGTAACACAAGGGAGTATAGTTAATGCTGCTTGGATAACAACAAACGCTTTACAGTGGAAATAATTCTTCAGTTGGTGGTTGAAGGATGCTCAGGGTTGATACATAATGGAACAAATGAGTCTAGGTAGAGTGGACAGAGTGAGCTGGAGCACTGAAATTGTGTGGTATGTTCAGGGAAATGTAAGAAAAATGATGTTGCTATAGCATAGGTATGTATGGGTCAAGGGAGCATCAAGAGGTGAGCCTAGAGGACCATATTGTGAGGGGGCTAGGATGTCCTATTAAGAGGTTGAGACATTGCCTTGCAAGTGACCATTGGCTACGGGTGGGGTGGGATAGAGATTAGTCCCAGGGAAGGTTATGTTTGTGTTTTTGAAAGATTACTCAGGTCACCAGTGGGTGAGATGGTTTGGCAATGGATTGGAGTGCCGTGAGTCAAGAGGCTTAATTAGAAGGTCATTGTACATCCAGGTAACAGATGATGTGTGCCTGAATGAAGACAATGGCATGAAGATAGAGAAGAGAATACTCTTGAAGATAGAGTAGACGGTATTGGTAATTGATAGGAAGTAGGTGATAGAATGAAGGATTGCTCTTGATTTACGCTTCTGTGGACTGACAGTTAAGAACAAAATGGATGACCAGGCACCTTGAATAATTTTCATTAGGTTTCACTGTCTTAAGGAAGTGAGGAAACAAATTGAAGACCATTTGCTTTTTAAAAAAAAAAAATATATATATATATATATATATATATATATATGTATATTTTATTGCATTTTAGGTTTTGGGGTACATGTGAAGAACATGCAAGATTGTTGCATAGGTACACACATGGCAGTGTGGTTTTCTGCCTTCCGTCCCCTTGCCTGTATCTGTCATTTCTCCCCATGCTATCTCTTCCCACCTCCCCACCCCCCCGTCCCTCCCCCATTTCCCCCCAACGGACCCCTCCCTGTGTAGTGCTCCCCTCCCTGTGTCCATGTGTTCTCATTGTTCAACACCCGCCTATGAGTGAGAATATGCGGTGTTTGATTTTCTGCTCTTGTGTCAGTTTGCGGAGAATGATGGTTTCCTGGTTCGTCCATGTCCCTACAAAGGACGTGAACTCATCATTTTTGATGGCTGCGTAATATTCCATGGTGTATATGTACCACATTTTCCCTATCCAGTCTATCATCGTTGGGCATTTGGGTTGGTTCCAGGTCTTTGCTATTGTAAACAGTGCTGCAATGAACATTCGTGTGCACGTGTCCTTATAGTAGAATGATTTATAATCCTTTGGATATATACCCAGTAATGGGATTGCTGGGTCAAATGGGATTTCTATGACCATTTGCTTTTTAAAAGTGGTTCTGAGCAAGAGAAAAGCAAATACCCTAAATAGGCAAGGGACACCAGGAAGCTTTCTATCATCCCACCTCTTTCCACCACCCCACCTCTGATTCAAAGCACACCTGGCTCACATTATGTTACCAAGGTGCAAAAATTTATAAGTAGCCTGTACGTCAGTGGGAATTATCTTAATGCTAACATCACATTAATTTTATTTGACATAGATGACCTTAAAGGAATAGAAATTTGAGCTTATGTTTTGGGGGTGGGTGTAATATAATAAGATAGTCATGTGCCTCATAATGACATTTTGGTTAGCAACAGACTGCATATGCAACAGTGGTCCCAGAAGCTTATAATGGAACTGAATAAATCCTATCACAGAAATACTTACCATAGTGTTACAGTTGCCTACTGTATTTAGTATACGAACAAGCTATACAGGTTTGTACCCTAGCAGCTGTAGTTATACCATATAGCTAAGCTGTATAGTAGGCTATCCCATCTAGGTTTGTGTAAGTACACTGTATAACGTTTGCACAATGACAAAATTGCCCTGTGAAACATTTCTCAGAACATATCCCCATTCTTAAGTAACGTATCAGGGGAGAAATAAGTTTGAAACTTTGAGTACATTGGTGACTCTTGGCTGGCTGGAATTGAAGAATGTTATAGACTGTTGAACAGTGATAGGCAATAGTGTCCTTTGATGAATTTTTGTATGCACAGTGGTGACCTAACTCCTAACTGCCACAGAATTCTATTGAGTAAACTGAAGTGGACACCCAGTCACTTTTTCTAGTTTGCTTGGGGCCTGTGAGAAAGAACTTAAACCATTCCCAGAGAACGTTCAGGAAATTTACTGCACCATCAGTGAGTGGATTGAGGGTCCTTGAGGATCAGAATGGTGAAAGAAACCAGAAGGCTATCTAGAGAATCCTCATGTACTAAGATGTGGCATCTAAATGACTCACATTTGTACTTAATGATTGCTGAAGCCTGGAACAATTTTATTCCAATGAAAGATGCTCAATAATTATTCATTGAAAAAGTGCAGGCATCATACAACATTTTAGGATAAGTTAGGTTGGGTGTGACAAACAAACTTAAATGAGGAAAGAGTTTAGGTAGACAGTGGATACCTGGTCATACCAGATGTAAGAAATCAAAATTATATAGCCCTTATTTTTAAAAATAATATTTAAAACATTTCTAGGATTCTTGGAGACAGACAGAACCCCATTTGCCTTTAAACATCATTTTTTCCTTCTCTGTAACTAATTTAAGCTGCTGCTGCCCCTTTTAGATCTGGAGGCAAACCTGCAGTCAGATAAGGAGAGAGGATTCCCATGTTATGGCACTAAGTGGAGATTAATGTTATGGCACTTAGTGCCATAAACAAGACAGGTGCCACCTGATTTTTAATGATTGACAAATCAATAACCTAGAATGAAAGTGTCATGAAAGCAGGGACTTTGTCTTGCCCAGTGTCATACCGCTAGCACTTATAATAGCTTCCAACACACAGTAGATGGTTGGTTAGTAAATATTTATTGAACCAATAAATCTCAGAGAAGAGATTTTTTTGACTTCTGAGTTGGGGGAGGAATAAAGAATGATCATAGTTATAATAATTATTATAACTAGTTATAATAATAACTATTATAATAACAGCTATTATAATAATAGCTATTCCTTATTGAATGCCACTATTACTCACTACTATACTGGATACATTTTATAGTTTATTTCAGTTAATCCTCCAAGTTACCTTATTAGATAGACACTGTTGTCTCCATTTTATAAATGAGGAAAACAAGGACTCAAAGAGGCTAAGTCACCGGACTACAATCTTACGGCTAGGATGTGGCAGACCCCAAAATGAAGCCTGTTTGCCTGACTCCAAGCCTATGTCTTTTCATTAAATGTTGCTGTCACTCTATCTAAGAGCAAAAATTTTCCTCTGACTGAAGAGCCTCTTGAGGGCCCTCTTCATGTCCTTATTCCTTAGGCTATAGATAAAAGGGTTCAACGTGGGAGTCACTATGGTATACATTGCAGCTGTTGCAATGTCCTTATCTTCAGAGGCGATAGAGGGAGGACACAGGTAGGCACTGAAGAGGGTCCCATAGAACACACAAACAATGCAGAGGTGGGAACTGCAGGTGGAAAAGGCCTTGCCCGCCCCACCATGGGTTCGGACCCTCAGAATAGCAGGCACAATGTAGATGTAGGAGGTGACAATGCATAGAAAGGGGATGATGAGTACTGTGCCTCCCAAGACAAAAACCATCATCTCATTGATGTGGGTGTCAGAACATGATAGCTTCAGGACAGGAGTGATGTCACAGAAAAAGTGAGCAATTTCCCCAGTCACACAGAAGGACAGTCGAGCCATGAGGAGTGTGTGGGTCAAGGCAACAACGTTGGTGAGGACCCAGCACAACACGAGGATTAGGGCACAGACTTGGGGGCTCATGACTGTGGAGTAGTAGAGGGGGTGGCAAATGGCCACATAGCGGTCATACGCCATGGCAGCCAGGAAGAAGCTGTCCAGATCACCAAACATCAGAAAGAAATACATTTGCGTGAGGCAACCCGTGTAGGAGATGGTGTGATGCCGCGTCTGTACATTCACCAGCATCTTGGAAACTGTGGAGGAGGTTAAACCCATGTCAACAAAAGACAGGTTGGCCAAGAAAAAGCACATGGGGGTGTGGAGGTGCAGGTCAGAGCCAATGGCCAGGATGATGAGCAGGTTCCCAGTCAAGGTGACAAGATATACACACAGGAAAATTCCGAAGAGAGACTGTTTTGCTCTGGAGACACTGATATTCCTCGGAGGAAAAATTCAGAAACGCTGGACTGGTTTTCCATGACTCTGCAGCATCTGGAGCTGAGGGAAGACAGTTAGAATGCCAGATTTCATCTAAAACTGCATGGGCTGACTCCCAAATCTCCCTTTAAGTTCACTGTATTCCTAATCCTGAGTTTATCTTCAATCTGACCCTACTTCTTTTCTCTCTTTCTCAGGATCTCATTCAGCACCCCCTTCTCCTCTCTCCCATGATTTAATCTTCTACACAGAGTATCCTTCCAAAAAGGTCAGGGCATATTCTTCCTTGGCATTATCATGCCTTAGACTAAGCCTACAACCTCCTGTGAGTTTTATTCTTGCATTAGGCTGTATACCTGAGTAGACTGAGGTCAGCTAAATTTTACATTCTTTGGGGAGGTAGCCGAAAAAACTCACACAAAATTCTTATTTTTGACACATCCTCATTCATTTTAGAGTGAAGGGAATATGAAGGATTCATGCCTCTTTATTTCTTCATTTTTTTTTTTGAAGAAGAAAATATGAAGCCTTGCATTTCTCCCTGCATTTGAGTTTTTGTCACTGGCATCATCATCATCCTGTAGCTAATGCAGATTAAGTTGGCCACATATATGACAGGCACTCTGCTGAGTACTTTAAGATTCTTTCCTTTAATCCTTAAACAACACTAGGATACAGAGATTATTATTCTTACCCTTACATAAGAAAACTAAGGCTAGGGATGTTTACGTGAATTATACAAAGACCCCACAGCTCATAAATATTTGAGACAGAATTCAAACCCACAGCATTGGATACCAGAGACTGCACCATCAATCAATATAAATAGAAAGTAACTTTCTACCACCAAATTTGTGTTTTATCTCTCAGTACTCCTAGTTTACCATACTCAGTCTCACTCACCCTTACTGTCTTTTGTATTTGTATTTTACAGAAGAACAATGAAGTTTAAGAACTAGATAGAACCTGTAAGATCACCCGGTCCAGAGGTCCCCTAGCATTGGTCTGTAGACTAGTTTATCATGATCAAGTGAGATGCTTGTTTAAAATCCTGATCCTGGCCAGGCATGGTGGCTCACATCTGTAATCCCAGCACTTTGGGAGGCCGAGGAGGTCTGGAGTTCCAGACCAGTCTGACCAACATGGCGAAAGCCTGTCTCTATTAAAAATACAAAAATTAGCTGGGCGTGGTGGCACATGCCTGTTATCCTAGCCACTCAGTAATCTGAGGCAGGAGAATCGCTTGAACCTTCGAGGCAGAGGCTGCAGTGAGCTGAGATCACACCACTGCACTCCAGCCTGGGCAACAGAGCAACACTCCATCTCAAAAAAAAGAAAAATTCCCGATCCCTACCTCAGACCTGTGGAATTTAAATTTCTAGGATACAGTTTAAGTGCCTGCTTAAAAACTAAAATTGAACCCTTCTCAGGTATTTGGATGCTCAATGAGGATTAAGAAAATGTTGCTTAGTTCAACTCCTCCCTTTGATTCAGATACATAAGCTAAAGTTCAAAAGAATGAAGTGATTGAAAAAGTTGACACTATGTCTTGGAGGAAGATATGGTACAAAAACCAGGATATCTGTGCTCTCAGACAGGTGTTCTTTTTAAAAAATCAGCTATCTTTTCATTTTTTTGAATTATTCTTTGTTATTAATATCTTACAAATCAAAATGTGTTTTCCTGATTTTTATTCAGAGTCTATACCTAAAGAAAAAGTTACCTTCAAATGGATAGCTTTACTAAAGCACTGTTCATATTTTGAAGTGGATACTTCAAACTTTAGATAGAGGAACATCTGAGAACTATTGCATATGTATCTATTTCTGAACACTACACTGGCTGAAGAACATCTCAGGGTTATATAACTTCCCTGAGAGATCAGAAAGCTACAGTCCAAGTTATTTTCTCCCCTACTTCGTCACTTGATAGGGCACATTCTGACAGGGCACATTCTAATAACCACGTCCAGGAGGATAAGAGATCCTCTTATGATTCAGCTGATTGTCTCATCAAGAGAAGGGTTACAAAGTGGCAGGCAATGCCTTGTTTTCCTGGCATGGAGACCCTGCCTTTAGCAAGTATCTCCTTTCATTGCGGTTTTCAAAGAGACTGTAAGTTGTTTTGGGGAAGAGCAGCATCGTTTTGATCCTCTGTGTTGGCATATATGGCCTTGATCAGGCTATTTCTATGGCGGTTCTTTGATCTACGGCACCAACTGCTTAACATCAGAAAACTCCCCCAATCCTCAAAACGGGTCGAAGGCTCACCACTGTAAGCCTAGTTTTTTACCTTCTGTCATTTTTTTTCTCTACTCAAGCACCTTGCACTATCTCTTGCCCTGTCGTTTGGTTTTTCTCTTTCCCTAAAAGGATTTCTCATCCTTCATCCTATCTATGGCCTCATAAAACTCTGTAGGTCCTTGCAACATCACGGGGATGCTTCCAGAAACTTGAGCCAATCCTTTCCTCTGTCACCCCAGGGTAGTGAGGTCCCTTTACTTACCTCCACTGCCTCTTCATCTACTGTGTCAGCCAGCAGATAAGAGCTGGCTTGAATATGATGGAGAGAGTATTCCAAATGTAGGACATGCCCACCTGCTTGCCACTACCATGGTAAAGGAGAAGCCAATACAGAGGTCCTTAATTTGAGGGGAAGAGCTCAGATTCTTCCTTACAATCTGTGTGATGGCATTAACTAAAATCAGGGTACAGGATCAAGAATAATAAATACAAATGGCAAAGAGCTGGAAGCAGAAGTTAGATTGCTAAATCAAGATTGAAAATATACTTAAAGGGGCTTAAGGGAGGGGTGGGGAGACTAGGATTGTAGAGAAGAAGTCCATGAGATTAATAAAGGATTGCAAAGCCAAGTCAAGGCCAGATCAGTAGGGGAGGATGGAGCTGTCACAGTTACATTCATCAGCTAGAACAGAGAAGATCAGAAAGAAGAGTATTTGAGATGACCTGGGACACATGGTACTCTGATCTCACCTAACCAAGATCTCTGGGACTTTTGAAGTTTTCTATATTTATATTTTGAAACCTGAACTGATAAACTCAGAAGCAGGGAGCTGCTGGCTCATCAGGCTCCTACCAGGAGGAGGCTGAATGTGCTCCACGTAGGGCAGCTACATACAGGGAGTCATGGGACAGAGTTCCCTAGAGCCCTGTTAGTGTTAACCCTCATAATTGCCCAATTTTCTCTCTGTGTCTCTTATAACAGACCAAATTAGTACAGTGCTGGCTTTATTTAAAAATTGGGAAGCTTTACTTCTTTCTTTATGTTAAGTGGTAGTGTTAAGGAGTTAAGGTATTAGTATTGATTTGTAACCACAGTCTTTGGCAAAAAGGAACTTTCTATGTAAATGCATCTCTTTGCTTCCCCCTTACAATAAGGTTTTTGCTTCTAACCTCCTCTAAAAAAAACCCCCACAAGCTGCTAACATCCACCTTTACAAACAGTTTAATGGCATATGACATATCTTTAAAGAATTCTTATGCTTCTGGTTAATGTTATACTAAACCCATGTATCTAATTTCACTCTACTAAAAGTGATTGGAAATTTTACTAAATTTTACTAAATTTAGTAAAATCACTCTACTAAAAAGTGATTGGAAAAAAAAGACATAAAACCCACAAGGACAGAGAATAGAGGCAAGCAAATAATAACCACAAATTGTGGAAACTAGAAACCCGATGGATACGTGGGTGATGACTTACACTGCCCTCAGCTTGATCAAAACTTAGATTGATTTCCTCCTCGCTAAAGGCCCCTGGCTTCCCTTTTCTTTACATTTGCATTAGAGAACTTATAATTGTAATTTTTTTTCTCTGCTCTTTTGAGATGTAAATATTCTCCTAGACTCTTGATGGTTTCATAGCTCAAGAATGTCTTTCTCCAGGACCTGGGAGCTATTCCTTGGAAATGCAATCATCAAGAAAGATAGATAGGTTCCAGTTTCATTCTTCTGCATATGGATAGCCAACTTTGCCAGCACCATTTATTGAATAGGGTATCCTTTCCCCATTTATTTTTGTTGGTCAAAGGTCAGTTGGTTGTAAGTATGTGACTTTATTTCTAGGTTCTCTATTCTGTTCCACTGATCTATTTGTCTATTTTTGTAATAGAGCCATACTGTTTTCATTACTATAACCTCATAGTATAGTTTGAAGTCAGGTAATGTGATGCTTCGAGCTTTACTCTTTTGCGTATGGCTGCTTTGGCTATTTGGCTCTTTTTTGGTTCCATATGAATTTTAGAATTTTTTTTTCTAATTTTGTTAAAAATTATGGTGATTTGATAGGAATTGCATTGAATCTGTAGATTGCTTTGGGCAGCACATTCATTTTAATGTTATCGGCTCTTTCTATCCACAAGCACAGGGTGTTTTTTCTTTGGTTTGTGCCATTGAAATGGCCTCATTGCCTGGGCTCACATCTGAAGTTCTTGGTCTCATGGCTGAGAAAATAAAAAATGTGGACACACCAAGGGTGAGGTCAGAGCAGAAGCAGAAGTTTAATAGGTGAAAGAAAGAGAACAGCTCTCTGCAGCAGAGAGGGCTCCTGGAAAGGGTTGCTGTTTTTACAGTTGAATGCAAAAGTTTTTTGTTTTTTTTTTTTTTGAGACGGAGTCTCACTCTGTCACCTAGGCTAGAGTGCGGTGGCACAATCTCAGCTAACTGGAATCTCCGCCGCTTTGGTTCAAGTGATTCTCCTGTCTCAGCAGCTGGGATTACAGGCGCCCACCACCACTCACAGCTAATATTTTGTATTTTTAGTAGAGATTTGGTTTCACCATGTTGGCCAGGCTGGTGTCAAACTCCTGATCTTGCGATTCGCTCATCTCAGCCTCCCAAAGTGCTGAGATTACAGGCATGAGCCACCAGTCCAGGCCAAATGCAAAGGCTTTGATAAGAAAGTGATGAGGGCTGGGTGTCTCATTTGCATGAGGTATGAATTTCTGGTAACACCACCCTATCCTCCTAATGTGCATGTGGGCCTTCAGCTTGAGTTACTCCATATTGCTTTGTTCCTCTTA